CTAGGTATTTTATTCTTTTTGATGTGATGGTGAATTCAATTGTTTCCTTAATTTCTCTTTCTGATCTTTCACTGTTACCATATAGAAATGCAACAGATTTCTGCATATTAATTTTGTATCCTGCAACTTTACCAAATTCATTGATAAGCTCTGGTATTTTTCTGGTGGTATCTTCAGGATTTTCTATGTATAGTATCATGTCATCCACAAACAGTGACAGTTTTACTTATTCTGTCCCAATTTGGCTCCCTTTTATTTCTTTTTTCCCCTCTGATCGCTGTGGCTAGGACTTCCAAAACCACGTTGAATAAAAGTGGCAAGAGTGGACATCCTTGTCTTTTTCCTAACCTTAGAGGAAATGTTTTCAGCTTTTCACCACTGATTATGTTAGCTGTGGGTCTGTCATATACGGCCTTTAGTATGTTGAGGTATATTCCCTCTATGCCCACTTTCTGGAGAGTTTTTATCATAACTGGATGTTGAATTTTATCAAAAGCTTTTCCTGCATCTACAGAGATGATCATATGGATTTTATTCTTCAATTTGTTGATGTAGTGTATCATACTGATTGATTTGTGGATACTGAAAAATCTGTGCATCCCTGGGATAAATCTCACTTGATCATGATGTATGATCCTTTTAAGGTACAACTGGATTCAGTTTGCTAGTATTTTGTTGAGGACTTTTGCATCTATGTTCATCAGTGATATTGGCCTGTAATTTTTTTGTGTGTGTGGTATCTTTTTCTGATTTTGGTATTAGGGTGATGGTGGCCTCATAGAATGAGTTTGGAAGTGTTCCTTCCTCTGCAGTTTTTTGGAATAGTTTCAGAAAGACAGGTGTTAACTCTTCTGTAAATATTTGGTGGAATTCACCTGTGAAGCCATCTGGTCCTGGACTTTTGTTTGTTGGGAGTTATTTAATCACCGATTGAATTTCAGTACTTGTAATTGGTCTGTTCATATTTTCTATTTCTTCCTGGTTCAGTCTTAGGAGATTGCACCTTACTAAGAATTTGTTCATTTCTTCTACGTTGTCCATTTTATTGGCATATAGTTGGTTGCAGTAGTCTCTTATGGTCCTCTGTATTTCTGTGGTGTCCATTGTAACTTCTCCTTTTTCATTTCTAATTTTATTGATTTGGGTCCTCTCCCTTTTTTTTCTTGATGAGTCTGGCTAAAGGTTCATTAATTTTATCTTGTCAAAGAACCAGCTTTTAGTTTCATTGATCTTTTCTACTGTTTTCTTAGTCTCTATTTCATTTATTTCTGCTCTGATCTTTATGATTTCATCCCTTCTGCTAACTTTGGGTTTTGTTTGTTCTTCTTTCTCTAGTTGCTTAAATGAAATGATGGCAACATCAAAAGGTGGTTCTGTTAATTTACTTAGGCAAAATAAATTTTTAAAAATTTGTTTTTCTGTTAAATCCAAAAATCTAGGAAATACTGTTGATTAAAGGAAATGGCACAAAGGAAAGAAGACAGAAACCCACAAGACAGCCTGAATGCCAAGCTAAGGAATTTGTACCTTATTCTACGGACAATGAGTAAATTAATAAAGTTGTTTAAACATAAAATTATTGACTCCTGGAAGTCACTTCATTAACAAACATTAACTGAGTTACTACCATATGAAAAGCACTGTAGTTGGTGCTATGAGAACAAATTAAATAAAATCTCTCCCTCTTTTTTATAACAGACTTCAGTGGAAAACTGTCTCTCTTCATTATTTACATCTTTATCTGTTACTCATCAAGGGCAATATTTAGTAGTTAAAAAAATCCTTTTTAAAAAGGAAAATATGGGACTATTCCTATTATGCTTACAAGTTTTATTTCACTCATTATTTAACAATGTGAGTTGTTGGATGTACAAAGTAAAGCAATATATAACCCCTAATCTACAGAATTTTATAGTTTAGGTTTTATAAACTTATAAAGTACTCTAGAAGAAACTGACTGTAGGCATTTAACTAGATATTATTTACCTAGGACTTCCAATTTAAGAGCAAACAGCAAATAAGCACTTACTACTACCACTCACATTTTAAGCATTTAACTTTTTTTTTTTTTTTTTTTTTTCACTACGCGTGCCTCTCACTGTTGTGGCCTCTCCCGTTGTGGAGCACAGGCTCCGGACGCACAGGCTCCTCGGCATGTGGGATCTTCCCGGACCGGGGCACGAACCCGTGTCCCCTGCATCGGCAGGCGGACTCTCAACCACTGCGCCACCAGGGAAGCCCGCATTTAACATTTTTAAACTAATTTAATCCTCCTAACAATCTTATGAAGAGGGAATCATTACTATATTGTTAAGATATTAATAGATTAAAATATATAACATTTATTATCTTTTTCCAGAATCAACTTTGACACCAATTCTGCTAAGGAAAGTGTTTTATATAGAGTTGCTATATAATTCCCATCAGTACACAAACAAGCTGTAATTTCTCCCATCTTAAAAAAAATCCTCTCTTGACTTCATGTTCTCCTCCAGGAACTACACCATTTCTCTGATCCCCCTAGAGGAAAACTTCTTAGAAGAGCTAGTTAGGGCTTCCCTGGTGGCGCAGTGGTTGGGAGTCCACCTGCCGATGCAGGGGACACGGGTTCGTGCCCCAGTCCGGGAAGATCCCACATGCCGCGGAGCGGCTTGGCTCGTGAGCCATGGCCGCTGAGCCTGCGCATCCCGAGCCTGCGTGTCCGGAGCCTGTGTTCGGCAACGGGAGAGGCCACAACAGTGAGAGGCCCGCGTACTGCAAAAAAAAAAAAAAAAAAAGAGCTAGCCATTCCCAAAAGGCTTTTCCGACACTACTGGAACCACTTTAGTCATGATTATGAATGATCTCAAATGCTAAATATGATTTTTAATTTTCAGTCCTCATCTCACTTGACCAGCAACTTGACAAAGGTAAAACACCTTCTTTGAAACACTCTCTCTCCTTCTTTACTTGGCTTCCAAGACACCATACTCTTCTGGGTTTTCTTATCTTCCTAGATGTTCCTTCTCAAACTCCTACGCTGGTTCTTCCACAGGTCCACAATTTCAACACATTTGAGTACCCAAGGCTCAGTTCTTGGACCGCCTCTCTTCTCTATATACACTCATTTTCTTAATGTTCTCATATAGTCTCATGGCTCTACCAGAATGTGCTTCAACAAGATAGGGATTTTTTAGCTATTTTGTTTATACTGAATGCCCTACACCTAAAAGTGTCTGACATGTAGTACATGCATGCCATATACCTGTTCAATGACTGAATGGATTAATAAATGGCTTTAAAAGGTACCTATAAAGTGATGACTGTCTAATTTATACCTCCTGCCTGGATCTCTGTCCTTAACTCCAGATATATCCAACTACCTATCTGCTATCTCTACCTGGATGTATAATAAACATTTCAAACTTAACCAAGTTCAAAAGAGAACTCAAATCACCCTCTCAATGGCTTCTTCAACTGACCACTTAGCAAAGAGCAGTTCCATCCTTCTAGTTTCTCAAGTCAAATTTTGAAATCATTCCTAATTCCTTCTCTTTCTCTCACACCATATATCCAATCTGTCAATAAATTCTGTGAATCCTGCCTTCAAAATATACTCAGCACTTGACCACTTGCCACCACGTCCACCACAATCACTATGGTCCAAGTCATTATCATATCTCACCTGGATGAATGCAATGGACTCCTAACTGGTCTTACTGCTTTTTGTCCACCTCCATCCCACAATTTGAGTCTGTTCTCAGAACCGCAGCCAGAGAAGTTTTTTAAAAACTTACGTCAAATCACATCACTTCTCTGCTCATAATCCTACAATTATTCCCACTTTGCTGTGAGTAAAAGCCCAAATTGTGACAACTGCCTATAAAGCTCTACTCAATCTGGCCCTATTACATCTCTGACCTCATCTACTACTTTTCCTCTCACTTATTCTGCTCCAGCCATATTGGTTTCTTCTGTTGTTCCTTCCAAAGGTTAAGCATATTTCCAACTCAGGTTCTTTTCTCTTACTGTTTCTTCTCCCTGGAATGCTTTTCCCTAGATATCTGTAATCCATTACTTGCTTCATCATCTTGCTCAACTGTGACTTTCTCTGAGTTTTTCCCTATCACCATATTTTAAACTGCTACTCCAACCCCGACCCCTTGTATTTTTCATCCCTTTTATCTCTATTTCTGCAAATCCTTTATCGCCACTAAATACTATATGCTTTCTGGGACATGTGCTTGAAAAGCACAAGAAGTTCTATCTGTTTCATTCACTACCGTATCCCTAGTGTTTAAAGCAGTGCCTGGTATACAGTAGGTGATCAATAATCTGTTGAAAGAACGGTTTCATTTCCACCAGGGGGCCTAACAATCCTCTAGCCTGGCGTTTCAGGAAAAGATCATAAAGCTTCTCTAAGATTTCTTCCAGTGCTCTGAATCCTAGAAGGATTATACGTTGCCTAGAAAGAAAAACTGTGCTTGTCTAGTCAACCACAAGGAGGAGTGGAGAGGGAGAGCCGAGCAAAGAGAAATGTTTCCCTTGCTTTGCCTGTGGCAACCTCATGGTGGAAGAAAACCGGATTTGGAGGCGACTCTACTGAATGATTTTCTCCATACTATGAGTTAACTAGACACACACAAACGTAAACATTAAAAACCGCAATCCCTTCAAACGCCACAAAGAGGCCAAGGAAATCAACCCACGGGCCACTGAGAACTGGACGGGTGTTTCCTTAACTCCAGCACTAAGCACTCCATAAATCCACGGGAAGAGTTCCCATTAGTGCAGAGCCACGGAACTCACACCTTAAGGCCAAGGTGTTCCAGGCTGCCAGCACAGCACTCTCTGTCCAGAGGACTATTAAATCCGTTCTATTTAATACTTAAAGCACCTGCAGTAATTAAAACGGCATAGGCAAGCCGGTGCCAGGTCTAAATTCTCAGGTCTGGCCGATCGCATGTGAAGTCTTGATTCAGCAAACAGCGAAACCAATTTCCCACGGGATTTTGACTCACCGCCACCTGTTGATGCCAACATTGGAGGAGCCGGCGAACCAGGGGTCGAGGATGTAGACGCAGCGGATGGTGTCGGCGCCCTGAATACACTCCTTCAGGGCAGGATTGTCGTGAAGCCGAAGCCCCTTTCGGAACCAGTGCACAGCATTCACCCCCATCCCGGGGACGCGGCGGGTGGCGGGGAGCCGCCGAGCTCCTCCGCGGAGAAATTCAGGGCAGGGGCGTCCGGCTCATAACCGACACCTCCGGTCGCAGGAGAATCGCCGTACCCAAGGAGTGAGGAAAGGGCGGCAGAGGGGAGGGAAGGAAAAAATGAGTCCGAGGAGGGGACGGGAGAGGGAGAGGGCGCTGGCGGCGCAGCTGGAAGATGAATGGAGGTTGCCCAGTCAGCGGAGTCCGGGTATGACGCCTTTAGGAGCCGGCACCCGCCGCCACCTCCTGGACGAGACGCATAACTTCGAGGGCCCCGGACCGGCGGAGGGTGAGCAAGTTCAACAAAATCGAGCCGACACGACGGCCCGAGCGGGCGCGGGCAGCCCCAGGAGGTTCGTCACGGAAACCTAGCCCCACCGAGGCGGCCCCCGAGGAGCAGACGGCCCGCCTGAGGCGAGCCGCCGACAGGAATGAGAGAGAATTTAGCCACTGTCGGCCACGCTGCCTCTCGGCCCGGGAAAGAGGAGTGAGGACGGAGCACGGAGGCGGTGGTCGAGGCCGCTGGACGGTTGCCGGCCGGTGACCGGTCCCGAGGCTGGCCGGGTGACTCCGCCGCCACCGCCGCGTCAGCGGCCTCGGCCCCGCCCTCGGCTCCTCATTGGAGGGGGCACTCCCCACGTGACCACCGGCACCTCACGTTTCTGAAGTGTGTTTACTACAGCGGCTCTGGGGAATCTGCTTGCACTTCAGTCGCTTCTACGGGGCGACAACTGCTCCATCTCAAAACCGTCTATCCTCGCCCAGACGCTAGACATTCTCCCTCTGCCCCTTTTCTCGGCTGACTGGTTGGTGTTGCCTGGAAGCGCCCACTGTGAGCAGAGGCCCCATGTGAGGGAAGGCTTAGCCCCGCCCTCGAGGGCCGTGAACATCCACCATTGGCTGAGGTTCGCCGAAACCCGGATGAGCACGGGTATGCGGGGAGCTCGCGAGCGCGCGCTCTGCTCTGGAAGGCGCGCTTGCGCCCTCGCTGCGTTCCAGTGGGAAGGAGGGCGGGGCCGGGGGGTTGGAGCGCGCTCCGGGATTCCTCCCGCGGGGTTCACGGAGCCCTGGAGACAGCTTGGTGTCTTCCAGGAGTCGGCGGGGCAGCCGGGCGGGGAGTGAGGGCAGGATGGGTTGGAAAGAGCAAAGTAGGAGGCTCCGCGTAGACTTGGAGCCCAAACCATGTGCTTCCATCCAGCTTTAGCTGGAGACCCCAGCTCTACTTTGGAGTGTGTAGAGCTGGCGCCCTTCTTCTTGCGGCCCACGCGGCATGGCACCCTTGCACGTGCTCTGGGGAAGAGGAGTAGCTGGCGGGTGCCAGGCATCCGTGGAATTCCTTAATATCGTCAACATGTCAGCCCTAGTTTCTTACACTTAGTGTGGTTTGCAGGGCTCTTCGTAATAGGATCTTTGCCTACCTTCCTGGGGACAATGAACTTAAGGCCATGCCATTCCTTAGACATGCAATGACCTTATATTCATTCAACAATCACTTACTGAATGAAACTGGCACTGTTCGAAGTGCTGCAGATACAAGGGAGAAAGAGACAAATATCTCAGCCCTCACAGAGTTCACAATCTGTCTCTTAACCTTTATATGTTCTATTTTTCCCTCTGTAAAATGCTCTTCTTTAGAATCTGCTGCTCACTACAACCACCTTTGAGGTGGTTGTTATAGATTGAGTTGTGTACCTCTAAAATTCATATAAGCCCTAGTACCTGTGAATGTGACCTTATTTGGAAATAAGGTCTTTGCAGATGAGGTCATTAGGAGACCAAATCCAATGACTGGTATCTTAAAAAGGGGGAAATTTGGATGCAACACAGACCCACACACAGAGAGAAGGCCATGTGAAGATTGGAGTTATACTGCCACAAACCGAAGACCTACTCGAAGCTAGGAGAGTGGCCTGGAACAGATCCTTCCCTAGTGCCTTCAGAGGGAGAATGGCCCTGCCAACACTTTGATTTCAGACTTCCGGCCTCCATAACTGTGAGATGATAAATTCCTGTTGTTCTAAGCCACTCATTTTGTGGTACATCACTACAGCAGCTGTAGCAAACTAATACAGCTGTAATGTAAATTTAGTCCTCCAGTGAGCCAATATGTCTGGATAGATTTCCCTAACCCTGCTTTTGTTGCCGTAGGGAGGGCATAGCATCTTCTTTTTAGTTTCTTAACATTTAAAATTATATAGTATATGAAAACCTGTTGTTCACTATGAAGTATTAAACAGTTATTTTTATCAGTGGGGATGAGCCTCGGTTAATTACCACACCCAGGGTCCCATCACTTTTGCAGAGGATGTGGCAAACAGAGCTGTGCACTCATTTGGATTGCCTCATACTCCAGGGCCTATTGTACTTGTAAAAATACAGTGTTTCTAGTTCATATTTCATTTTAGGCAGTTTGAAAGTAAGCGGATTCTGGGACTTAACCTGGTGGTCCAGTGGTTAAGACTCCGTGCTCCCAATGCAGGGGGCCTGGATTCAATTCCTGGTCAGGGAACTAGATCCTGCATGCCACAACTAAGAGCTCGCATGCTGCAACTAAAAAAGATCCCACATGCCACAACTAAAGATCCTGCATGCCACAACTGAGACCCAGCACAGACAAATAAATAAATAAATATTAAAAACAAAAACAAACGAAAAAAAGTAAGCAGATTTTGTCTAGAGACGTAAGAATTATTTTAAGCATCTAAGTGTAACAGTGGGAGGTAGAGAGAGAATATTGATTTGTGTGGAGTTGCCTTATGTTTGCCAGTTGTCCATTCAATAGATGTTTTTTTTTTTTAACAGACGGCTGTATGTGGGTGGGTGTATAACTTTCATTTACACATGAAAGTACTAACTTATTATGAAAATGTCAGTACTGTCAACTGTGCATTCCTCAATGAGTAAAGGTTTTTTATGGCATGTAGGTTGTTCTTTAATATATTTTTGTAAGCATTTAATAAAAGCTATGACTTACTGATTACCAACTATATGCCAGGCACTTTATATAGGTTATTATTAACCCTTAGAATAATCTTATAAGGCAGCTTATTATTTGTGCCTTTGCAGATGAAGACGCTAAAGCTCAGAAATACAAATGCGTAGTAAAACCAGATGAAAAACCAAGACTGTTTCTGAGCCCAAAGCTCTTTCCTTATCACATACCATCACTGACACCACCACTCCCTTTCTTTTTCAGAGTGAGTGTATATGTATGAAGAAGGAAAGAAGGGATGGGGAGCATTGCTGGGAATCTCTTGTGAAATTCTGGTTGGCTCCAACATCCTGGTGGTAGAAAGAGTATGGGACTAAGAGGAAGACACTGGGTTATATCTGAGCTCGCCGTTAATTAGTTAATGATCTTGAGCTAGTCATCTAGGCTTTCCTGGCTTGCTTAATTCATATGTAAAATGGGGGGATTGAACTAGATTTCTAAGTTTGCTATACTATTTTAAAATTCTAGGATTCTATAAGCACAGCCCTGTCATGGGCTCAAAAATATCTATGAAGAGTCCTATTAAACGTTCTTTTAACTGCCCACAGTGTTAGAAAAATCAGTATCTCTTTGATTTCATAAGCACCCTTGATAAAACTGTGTCAGCCTCTAAATTGCAAGACTGTGTTCTCCCTTGACCCTGTCTTGTAGAGGTGATTTTGGGCGTGTGTTATCAACACACAAATAATGAAGGAGTAGACAGTGTGATCAGCTCCCTCAGTCTTGATGTGATGTGAATATTAGGCTAATAGTCCCTGGCTGAGTGACCCCCCCAGCACTGGAGTCTTTGGGGGGATTGAATTTAAATGTGTTAAGGGATCTTTTTTTAAATTGAAGTAACATTGGTTTATAACATTACATGAGTTTCACGTGTATAATGTTATATTTTGACTTCTATATATACTACAGTGTGCTCACCACCAAAAGTTTAGTTTCCATCCATCACCATACAGTTGACCCCCTTTACCCATTTTGCCTTCCCCCAGGATCGTCATTATTTTAATGTCATTCTCATATGAATATAAAATGAACACATGTCAAAGATTTCACTAAACTTGTTAATTAATGAGGGAACCAGTACGATGTTACAATGAAATAAAAGGAGATTCCAAAGAGCAGTTATACATGTAGGCCATCAGGAATGCTAAAAGTAAATTTGCTTAATATATGCAAAACACTTCTACAGAGGCGTTGGGGGGAGGGAAATCAATTTCACTTTCACAGGAAAAATCCACTTACATGTCCATAGTTAACATTCCTTTGCATTGCATCGTTTATCTACCATTTACAGAGCTGTAAAATAGTTTAAAGATAATGACAGACAGAGAATAACTTGAAGGGTGTCCCAGACAAGAGACCTAGTGATCTTTTTTGCCCATTTCAAAGTCATTCATAATTTTTGTCACCTCCTGGAAGAGGTCTCCCCTGTCAGCCCATTCTAAAAGGGACCCCTTCTTAGTTTCTATTATAGTCCCCTGTTTACTTTCATCATAGCACCGATTGTTATCTGTATTTTTTTGGTTGTTTACTTATTTATTGTCAGGCAATCTATGCCTGCCCCAATCCCATACGCAAACTCCAGGAGGGCAGATATTTTGGTCTATCGTGTTCCTCATTATACCCTTAGCATATGCCACAGTGCCCAGTACCCAACAGACTCTCAATCAATGTTCTTCTACAGACCGTGATAACACCCAGTTGATCACATGAACGCTGTACATCATCCACATGTCAGTTATCAACTTATTGCCTCTCAGCTCCAAATTCACCTTTTGTGCTTCCTCTGTGTTAATGGAAGTAAACTCTGTAAGGATTTCTCCTTCACCACTGGCACCATGTTAAACATTGCCAGTAGAGGGTGCTGGAGGGAAACAAAGAGGAAGGGGCTTCTCTTCCTGGTTCTGGTATGCTTGGTTTCTTTGTTGTTCCACTGATGCCGCAGGCACTTGGGGGAGGAACATACATCAGGCTCTTAGGCTCTCTGGCTCTCCGTATCCACAGGTTCCACATCCACAGATTCAACCAACTGCAGATCAAAAATATTTAAAAAAAAAAAAAAAAAAAAAAAGGTTCCAGAGCTTTCCTGGTGGCGCAGTGGTTGAGAGTCCGCCTGCCGATGCAGGGGACACGGGTTCGTGCCTGGGTCCGGGAAGATCCCACATGCCGCGGAGCGGCTGGGTCCGTGAGCCATGGCCGCTGAGCCTGCGTGTCCGGAGCCTGTGCTCCGCAACGGGAGAGGCCACAACAGTGAGAGGCCCGCGTACCGCAAAAAAAAAAAAAAAAGATTCCAGAAAGTTTCAAAAAGCTAAACTTGAATTTGCTGTGCCCCGGCAACTATTTACATATAATTTACACTGTATTTATTTCTATTTACACAGCATTTACTTTGAATTGTAAGTAATTTAGAGCTGGTTTAAAGTATACAGGAGGATGTGTGTGGGTTATATGCAAATACTGCACCATTTTATAGAAGGGACTCAAGCATCTGCAGATTTTGGTATCCTGGCAGGGGGCAAATGGGAAATGAGTGCCGTATGAGAAAGATAATTATCTATCTTTTCTAAAATAAGAAGATAATATCTCACCTACCCTTTTTGGATTAACTCCAGATTCCTAGATAAGCTTAGAGTGATCTGAGAGTAGAAGAGACTTGCCAACTTTCCATCTGAAATCTGGAGGCTGACCCCTCACGGAAGTCCCATTACCACTTTACTGTGACCCAGCCCAAAAGCCCATGAGGGACGCTATTGGACAGAGAGGGCCTGGGGAGCCCTGCCAAGCATCCTGCTGGCTAAGAGAACAGCTGGAGTTTTCTAGACATCCCCTCTTCCTTAGAGGGCTTCCTTAGAGTTAGCTGAAAGACAAAACCAGTTAAC